ATATATATATATATATAAAATAGTACCCGGAAAATAATTGAAACCCAAAGTATTTTGGCTTTGAAATGATGCAATTTGCGCCATTAAGTTTATAAAAAAACCTTAGTTCATAACAATTTTGCATACTTGCATCCACTTGCAGAGAAATTTAATCGCAAAATGTGCATTGATTTATTATTTGTCCATAAACCAAACATATCGGACGACATTAAGTTACGACGCCGCGTTATAACTCATTAAACGCCGAAACTGTCAAAACTGTCGCGATGCGCGTGCGGCGCATACAAAATGGCCTAGCGTAGCAACTCAATTTTTAATTATGCAAATTTCATGCAAGTGGTTACTTACATTCATACATATGTATCTATATACATATACCATATGTAAGTGTATAAAAATGGATATATCTACTTAATATGGGCATACAGTGGTCGAAAAAATTATAGGCGCACCATATTTGTACATGCTTTAACATATTATTTTTGTGTTATTTAGGTAGGTAGGTTGTCGCGGTCGTCTATAAGACACACTTAGGCTCAGGGCCCATTGTGATGCCGCATGTTGGGTCAGCAACTCCAAATCCCTCCTAAAACCATTTTGAACTTTGAACGAATTTTAGAAGATCCCTGATTTCGACGCATCTAAGGTCCTCCAAGTTGTCGAAGAATTGCCTACCGAGAGTGGAAAGTCTTCGTCTAGATAGAGCAGGGCATTGGCACACCAGGTGGAGAATCGTTTCNGAGTCTTCGTCTAGATAGAGCAGGGCATTGGCACAACAGGTGGAGAATCGGTTCTTCTTCTTCTTCATCTTGACAACTTCTACAGAAGTCATGTGAGCGTAGGCCAAGTCGATAGGCGTGCTTGCCAATTAGGCAGTGTCCTGTTATGACGGATACTAATAATCTAATATTGGACTTATTTAGACTCAGTAGTAGGCCAGTGCGGTTGGCGCTGAGCACCGGCCATAATTGTTTGGCAGTTTTGCAGGTGATTTCGTCCTGCCACCTTTCGTTCGCTACTTTAGTGAGCCTCTCGGAGATAAGTAGCTTACAAGTTTGCAAGGGTATTCCTATTTCGTCATTTATATCCTCAAAAGGAAGTTTCGTGCCAAGTCGCGCCAGTTCGTCGGCCTTACAATTCCCCTCTATGCCGCAGTGTCCCGGAACCCATATTACCTTTGGGCGAAATGACTCAGCCATCTCGTTAAGAGATGCGCGGCATTTCATGGCTACCATGGAATNGTGTCCCGGAACCCATATTACCTTTGGGCGAAATGACTCAGCCATCTCGTCAAGAGATGCGCGCNTTCGTTCGCTACTTTAGTGAGCCTCTCGGAGATAAGTAGCTTACAAGTTTCTCTTCCCCTCNAAGGAAGTTTCGTGCCAAGTCGCGCCAGTTCGTCGGCCTTACAATTCCCTTCTATACCGCAGTGTCCCGGAACCCATATTACCTTTGGGCGAAATGACTCAGCCATCTCGTTAAGAGATGCGCGGCATTTCATGGCTACCATGGAGGTTGTCGACTGCTTCGTGAGGGACTTTATTGCCGCCTGGCTGTCAGTGAAGATGTAGATATCAACTTGGGGTATCATATCACACTTTACCAGTTTCGTGGCCCTGTCGATTGCCATCAGTTCAGCCTGAAAAACGCTACAGTGGTCCGGGAGACGAAAGCTGAGGGAGATTCCCAGGTGATGGGAAAATACACCTCCTCCAACCCTACCCTCGAGNGGTAGGAGGGTCGCGAACGCTGTAGCGGGTGCAGGTTCCGCAAGTGCATATTCCACCAATCCGGGTAGCCTCGGAACCTCCGTTAATATTCTACCGTGACCATAACTGGTATTTGACCAC